GAAGTGTTCAGGTTAGTAATATGTATGCCAGTATGGGTTTTGCAGACAGGTAACAGTATTGTAAAATCACTCCTGAAATCTAAAGGGAGACTAAGCAGTGAAGTTCACACAGGTATGACATGCTCAGATGTTTGTGTTTGTGTTTAGATTCCAGCCATAGCATTTTGTACGAGCTGCAGTCTGTCATTGGTGTTCTTTGGCAACCATGTAAATAATGCATTGCAGTAGTCTGAGAGTCTAAAAACAACACAATGTGTCAACTTTTTAGCATCTCACGGTGAGGGGAATGGCATGACATGTGCTTTATGTCTTAAAAAAGGCTGCCTTGGATACATTGTGTGGGATGTGAAACTTACTCTCAATATTTACTCTTTGGTCTCATTCAGAACTTTCTCAAGGGCATCCAGTCTGCTGTGATGTATTTTGGCCTGGAATTTTTTCTGAATGTTGATTTTATTAGACTTTCTAAAAATATATAATGTCAAATAGGAACATTTCATATATGTCTCTATTGTTTTTCAAAAAAGTGTTATGTATCCAAGCTATTATTCTAAAATTAGAGCAAATCTTAAGTAACCATATTATCAAAAACATTTTTAAGTTTATTATTATTATTATTATTATTATTGTTGTTCTTCTTCTTCTTCTTCTTGTGTGGAAGCCTCTGACAGAGGATTTTAATTGTTAGTTCACATTCAGTTATTTTGTAGAAAGAGTCAAAGCAAACAGAACTGGGTTTTATTGGGGGTCTACAATAGAAAACAGCTGCCTCAGAGTGTTACCTCCATCATTGCTAATTTTAGAATAGTGGGAATGTCTGAACAAACTGCCTTATTACTATGCATTTTTTACGAGGTACATACTGCACCAGATTGTAAGTTTGTCTGCTTTTCCGCTTAGAATAGTGACTTTCTTATTTATTCAATCAGATGTCTTTGGTTTTCCAGGGCAACTAAATCAAGAAACTTCTTTTTCTTCTTTTTCTAGATCTAACAAGAGATGGCTTCTAGACTGGCATTAAAATCATTCAGCAGATACACACTCGGTGGCCTCTTCACTAGGTGCTCCTAGCCAGTACTCTAGTACCCTGACCTCCTAAATCACTTCAAGAATAGATTTGTTGTGCGTTCAGAGAAGCCTTCCTGTACACCGCCGTTGTATTGAGTTGCTGTTTCTGCACTTGTGGCCTTCCTGTTAGCTTTAACGAGTCTTCTCCTCTCACTCAATAAAGAGGTGTTTGTGGGCATAGAAATGCTATTAACTGGATGTTTTCACACCATTCTCTGTGAACTCTAGACACTGTCGTGTGTGGAAACCCCGAGCCAGGGGCTGTTTCTAAGGGGTGATCTCATTCAACTAGCAATCACACCACATTTAAAATCACTTAGATGTCTTCCCTAGTCCACTGCTTAATCAAACAGCAAGTGTACCTTATTGGTCACTATGCTTGCAGTGTCACTGTCTGCATGCTTTAAATACTCAATTGCAGCCATACAATTTGCTGTACGGAGGAACAGGCTGTTTGCATTAGCAAGCAGGTGCACCTAATGACCTGGCCACTGAGTTTATAATGCTCTAAGTATCAAATCGTGACCAGGTGCTTGACTGAACAAGTCAATTCTCAGAAAGTGATGTTATAACAAAGTGCTTTTTCTTGAAAATGCATCCTGCATTGTTTTTTTTTTTGGCTGCATATGAAAGAAAAGTATGAAAGAAAATGTAGTAATGCTTATGAATAAATCAGTTATATCGAATGTATTCATCCATCTCCTGCCAGGGTCACACTGGGGCCAGGAGCCTCTCGCAGGCAGCCTAGGGCAAGCCCTGGATGGGGTGCCAGTCCATCACAGGGACATGTCAGGAGACAAGCTTGGATCAATCAGCATTATATCCAATTAATAATAATCTTAGATCTAGTACATCCGTGACTGCTAGTAGATCAGTAACATATTGATTTAAAAAAATCAATAGAATACAACAGTAAAATTTTAAAAATGCTTTAGATTCATGGTATGACACCACGGGGTGATCTTATAATGGTAGCAATGTAAGGAAAAATTTGAGTCAGATTTATTTAGAAGGTCTTGCCCTAGCCATGTTTCCATTACAAGTATTAAATACAAAAAAAAGTACCTTCACTCTCAAACACTGCTTTTTGGTATTAATTTATTTCATGAGGAATTCTGCTCTGTCTTTAAAGAGCTTTTAACATTACTAATTGAAAATACGAAGTCAAATAATGTCACCATTCTCAAATAATCCTTTTTCAAAATGTATTGAATGTATTTATTTTATGACACAGTGGGGAAGTATACAGAGTTTTAAAAAATGCTAAAAATTGTGCAATCATTCCATTTCAGGAAGTGCTATGTGTTACATTATGGTAATGGTTTTAATAGTAATTTCCCTCTAATTTTGTACTGAATAATTTCATCTGATTATAGGGTTTCAGGCTTAATTCATTTATGTGTTTTATCTTTACTTAGCTTCCATTTTAATCGTTGCTCTAGTTTACCTCAGAGAGCAGGAAGGGAGGAAGTAGTTCAAGAACACATTTTGCAACTGAGGCACAAAAGAAAATCTTGGGCCAAAAGAGTGATATTTTTTGTCGTGTCCGTGAATATGGGACACATCTCTATTGTCTGTGCCTATGACGGCTACCCTGAAAAGCAACCTGTACGTGGTGGCCTATTTCATGACCTAGATTTCTTAACTCCATTCCCACATTTAAACCTCTGCACCATTGATAACAGTGATTTATGACCAACAACACAACTAGTCCTCAGACTTGAGAAGTTCAGTTCTATCGCATCACAGTCGCATGAGTGATGCTTTGGAACTTGAGAGGCTCTGATTGCGCCCTTTGGACTCGTCCCCCAGTGGCAAATCCGTACAGCCATGAAAGAACAACAAGAAAGTGTTTTTTATTCTCTGGCAATAATAAACGGCTGAATAACAATAGGAAAAAAAAGCATGTTTCATGAAGAAAAAATAGATTAATAGCTATTTTCATAGCACATATCTCGTCTGTTTAATGTCCATGTAAACAAAAGCAAAAACAGACATCTTTAAACATAGAAAGGCTCTGATAAGCCTAACAACAGACCATTTCCAGTTTGGTAAGTCACTCACTACAGGGTGCTGCTCATTAAACTGCCTAATCTCCCATTTAATTGTAGTGCTTAATTTAAACTCTGTTCTCCATCTGGTGATGACTTTTCCCATAACATATAAAAGGTTAACCTGAACCAATACAATATTTGGTTTTATATCAAATAGTATAACATTCATCAGAATTTGCACCTGCTGTATAAGTCTTTGCCAAGACTAGAGTTATGGAAATTCGAATATCTCACTTAAGTAAAAGGCCATTTTTGAAATGTCATGTCTTCCCACTGTTTTCATTAAAACATTTAATACTTTTTGTTTTCTTAGTCCCCTATCTGACACATGTTTTTTTCCTCTCAATTCTTGAATTAATTAGTAAAGAAATTTATTTTGGACCATGTTACTGAGGAGATCACTTGTGAATGCAATTTTCTTATCTTCTCTCCCATTTACTTCTGCCTAAAATAGTCTCGCAGATATGTATGTATACAGCATATGCAATTTTGGACCAATTTCTTCATTTTATTTTAAAAGTTAATCAAAGTTAAGAAGCAGAAGACTGCAGAAGTAAAATAGCAAGCAGGCAAATATGTCATGGATGTAAACTGCTATAAGCTGGCCTGGATTAGCCCTTTGGGCAAATGCCCAGGGGGCACTAAGCAGAGTTTCCCCCCCACAAGCCCAGTCCCCTTCACAAATGTCTTTAAGTTAATATGAGCTATGATCTAATGTGATTGTATATTATTATTTTAATATGCCACTCACTGAAAAGCCTATCTTCCCTCTATTGGATGCATTTCCAGACTGTATAAAGACAGAAAGGGCCCAAGTTCAACCAATGACTATGGTTACCAGTCAGATGCTCTACCAACTGAGCTACATCCACATAGGGGAGGATGGAGCAGCAGCCCTACTAGGTGCTGTTGCCCAGAGGCACTTACTGTAATACTCTTAATCTGGCCCTGGCTGTCGATCTGGTTTATTTCATTGAACTCACAGAAAACTATAAGAACGAGGTACTTCCTGTGGCACTCAGAGAAGCCGGTTCATATTTAACAGTAATGTTGACTTCAGATTAACATCTTCATGGCATTTAGCTACTGCGAGGGAACCCAGAACTTTGCTTGTGTTTTTGAGTTTGTGAGTTGAACTTGGTTTTATATGGGTTCTGCAATGTCATTGTTGTGCTGTAACAAACATAAATGTCTTTTTTTAATACCGCATGGTAAGAATATCTACGGACTGACGAGACATGCTTGTTTTAGTACAATAGATTCTAGGGTGCATGTATATGTGTACATGAGAGTCTTGGTCCACAGATTAATTATTCACTTTTTGTTTTGGTGTTTGTTTCTGCCATATCAAATAATTTGTCAAAAAAATGTCTTTACATACATATTTTGCTTGTCTTTTGCCTGACAGTGAGCCAAAAAGCAGCAAATATTACACCTAATATATAGAAAAATTAATGAATAGCAATTTTTACTGATATTAAATGAACAACAAATATCTCGATATTCATGGATATGGCAGAGGATTTGGAATTTCTAATAGGATTTTATTTCTGACATTTTCAATTTGACATTTCAGCACAGGAACATCTTCATCGGTTATCTTAAAATGTCACAATAATGCATAACTTTACAATTTAGAATGGAGGGAAGAAAAGTCACTGGTTAATTCTCACTGAATTTCATTATATGGGCAGACAAAGATAAATGCACTGCTGCACTGGATTCTTCAGATGTTCTGAAAAACCTATTCTTGGTTCAGCTCCTGAATATTTATTAAAAACTGGCTTAGTGATGTAAAAATTATTGGTTATGTACCATAGTTTCTGACATTCCGATTTCGTGTAACATTGCTATTTCTGTCCCCCATCTGTCATGCAGAGGCCTCATGCCCCGGACTCTGGACAGCCAGATCACCATGGAGAAGACACCCAGCTACTTTGTGACACGGGAGGCCCCAAGACGGATCTCCAGCATGTCCCGGGACACCAAGCTAATCGTGGTAGTGCGAAACCCTGTCACCAGGGCCATTTCGGACTACACTCAGACGCTGTCCAAAAAGCCGGACATCCCAACCTTTGAGGTCCTGGCTTTCAAGAACAAGAGCTCAGGTGTGGTGGACACCTCCTGGAACGCCATCCGCATCGGAATGTACGTGCTCCACCTGGAGAACTGGCTGCAGTACTTCCCGCTCTCGCAGATCCATTTTGTGAGCGGAGAGATGCTCATTACGGACCCTGCGGGAGAGCTAGGCCGAGTGCAGGATTTCCTGGGGCTAAAACGAATTGTCACAGACAAGCACTTTTACTTCAACAAGACTAAAGGATTCCCCTGTCTGAAGAAGCCGGAGAGCAGTAGCTTGCCACGATGCTTGGGCAAGTCCAAGGGAAGAACTCACGTTCAAATTGACCAGGAAGTTATCGAGAAGCTTCGCGAGTTTTATAGACCATATAATATTAAGTTCTATGAAATGGTAGGCCATGATTTCCGATGGGACTAGAGCAGCAGGGAGTACCTCAAAGGTAAAGAGAAAAGCGCAAACGCTTATGTCTTCCATGAATATAAGCTGTGTTGATACAGTCATTTATCCATATGCATGAGTGCCAATGTATTGATTGGCCATGTCAATTCATTGCGATGCATTAACTGGGTATTGTAAGCTTACTGGGGTTAACTTTTTCAAAACCAGGCAAAATATTCTGCTGAAAGCTTTTTTTGTTTGAGGTTATGGACTACTTGAGATGCAGGAAAGAAAACTCTACATATGGAAAGCCTTATGGTTTTATTTAACGTGTAAATTTCTTACTCAAAGCTAATTGGTTATGTAGCCAAGGCTTTTATGACAAATCTTTAGACTTTGGTGTGGAAAGGAGCCTTAGAAGAGCCTCAGAGGAGCGATTTTACGAAGACCATCTGTTTTCATTTAGCTACGAGTGTATTTCAAATTATTTATTAATTCTAGCAGCTCAGTCAGTCATTAATGGTCCTGCTACTTGTCAAAATGTCAAACTAACAAAAAAAAATTAAAACTCTACTGCTAATGTAAAGTGAAGTGTGTGCAGTTTATTAGTTATTAATGGAATGTCATGGTATTGTCTGTTGTGCTGATTCAGGTGTATTGAAACGATAATTACCATGTAAATCAAGCAATAGTTTAATTAAACAAAATGTTGTTATTATGGCTTAAAGTTATGTAGCTTGTAATACAAATCTAAAGAGAAGACTTTTTGGCACCTACAGTAATTATCCTCAGGTGTGTCATAGCATTTCAATACGCAAGTGCACCTTTTAATTCTAAATACATCACATTTTTCTCCTGTTTGTCATACACACATTAGCACTTAAAATCCGATAACATATAGATAAATCTGTCAAAACCAATACATTGTTGCATGAAACATATCATGTCCCTCTGCAGTCTTGAATCTGGGTGAATGCAGATGACATCATTTTAATTTCCATGTGGGAATTATTACAGATTTTTTTTTCTATTACTTTACGGGAAAATTCTCATTTGACGTTTTTCGATAAAGCTGAGATTATGTGTGGCATTAGCATATAAATAGCCCTACTACCCCCTACCCATTTGCTGCATTTTTAAACATGACTGAAGTATCATCTGACAAATCTGAAAACTTTCTGGGAATGTTTCCTGATTCAGTCAAATATATGCAGCACATTTTCATGCTGAGTGAGGATGGTGTGTTGAAGAGCTGAAGATGTGCTGTAAGAGGAACCATTACATCTACATCTATGTCTTTTAAATATATATATACACACACATCACATATACGCACACAAGCACAAACACTACATATATACAGCCATGGAAAAAAGATCCCACTCTATATTTTTAAACCTGCATTTTTTAATCCTGGTTTAATCCTGGTTCTGCTGGCAGAGGCTACACTGAGCAGCAGGCTGCTTCCAGGTTCAAAGTTTCTAAGACAGCAGTACACAAGAATAAGGTGAAGCTGGAGACACTGGGAATGACCAAGAACCAGCCAGGTAGAGGACGGAAGCAATTTTCTGATGCCATAGATGACCATTAACTTATGCAACAGTTTCTCATGAATCGGAGGATGACATCAAGTGACCTTCAAAAGGAATGGGAAACATTAAGTGCAGGTGTGAAGTGCACTGCTAGGATAGTTTGCATCAGGCTCCCATAAAGCAAGGAAGAAGCCCTTTATTAATGAGAAACCGGGAAGAACCAGGCTTCAGTTTGCAAAAAAGTACATATTATTCACAGCCGCACACCCATAAATTTAGGAATGAGTGAAACAAAAAATTGTGCTGTGCTCTCTTAATTTTTTCCATGGCTGTATAAACACACACACACCAATCAGAAATAACTTTAAAACCACCTGCTTAATATTGTGTAGGTCTCCCTCTTGCGTCAAAACAGCTCTGACTCATCAAGGCATGGACTCCACAAGACCTCTGAAGGTGTCCTGTGGTATCTGGCACCAAGACATTAGCAGCAGATCCTGTAAGTCCTGTAAGTTGTGAGATGGAGCCTCCATGGACCGGACTTGTTTGTCCATCACATCCCACAGATACTCGATCGGAGTGAGATTTGGGCAATTTGGAGGCCAAATCAACACCTTAAACTCATGTTCCTCAAACTATTCCTGCACAACTTCTGCAGTGTGGCAGGTTGTATTATCCTGCTGAATGAAGCCACTGCCATTGAGGAATGCTGCTGTCATGAAGTCAGCCACTCAGATTCTTACCTTTGCCCATTTTTCCTGCTTCCAACACAGCATCTTCAAGACCTTCACTTCTCAGTGGTTTTAATATTATGGCTCATCGGTTTTTTACAAGCTAACGTCTGATATTATAGAATTACAACGGGAGGACTGTATCGATTCAAATTCGATACAAAAAGCAAATATGCAATCATAAATGATAATATACGATCATAATGTATACAATTATAACATTGTAATATGCAATGTGTAATTACTATATATAATGTGTATATTTTTCTGGAATTTACTCCAGCGCTTGTAACACAGTATTTAATGCTAGGATTTCTCCATCTAAGCCCTACCGGTGCACATACCAGTGTTGGCCCTTAGGCTGGTTAAACATATTTGATATGTTGCCTTCATACTGAAATGTGATGCTGTTCTGTTTAGTGTCCAGCACTTTTCCCACTCACTGGTGGACATATGCAGTAAATAAAAGTGTCCGCCTTCATGTTCGAAGATTCCTGGCAGATGCAAGGCTTTTGGTGGCCACTCATGAAAGGACCCCTACCTAGATACTGTAGAAGTGGTGAGTAAATGTGGTAAATCTGATGTCAGTGTCCTCACAGCTTCTTGGCAGCTCTCCTGCATTATTGTTACGTAAATTCAAACAGATGCCATAACTGCTCACTCAAAATTGCTGTATTTTTGGTGACCCATAAATGCTGCCTTTTCGAATCACTAAGGTAATCAGTACCACGAACCACTGAGGTGAGCCGCTTTCATATCATGGTTACTGTACAGTATGTGTGAATCTGAATACCCCAAGAATGGCTGGGCGTGTAAAAAAAGAGTAACACAGTACAAATAATGTAGTAGTACACTCTTACTTAATGTATTAATTAACCAGAAACTACGTTATGTACTGACCACATATTCATTCATCATTAATCAGTCATAATGGTTCATGTATTTCATGCAGTTACTATATTTGTTCATGATTTGTATTTGAGTACTAACTGAATTACTAATTACTTGCATCCATTCAAGTAAAGTGTTACCAAAAACGGAATGCAAATTTAAATATTTAATTACTCTGATTACCCTTTTTCCACATCCAGTATGCCATACATTACAGGATTATTTCCATAACATGTTTTGCGAAGAATGATACTGATTGATACATTTCAAATCTTCTATTCTCGGTAAGCCTCTTTGAACTGTACAGTACATGTACTTGCGATCTGATTAGAACTTTTATTCTTTATCTCTTTTTTTGTCAATTTAATTTGCGACCTAAAGATGCCAGTGAATGTGCAGACCAGCATTTGCTCTGATAGTGTGAACACTTCACATAAAGACTCATCAGGCAGTCTTTCATCGCCCTGAGCTCAGTATTTATCTGAAAGTGGCATCTGTTGCCGAAAGTTCGGCTGACTTTGATGAAGCTCTTTGGTAAATAATTGCCAGAAAGCTCAGTAACGGTTCCAAATGCTTTCTGCTTTAATGACATTGTACTCCTGAAGTGGATTTTGAGCACAAAACAAGTCATGTTTTAGGGCTGAACACTTAAAAAGCACTGAATTATATTTGATGGGAACATCTGCCTTTGAATTACATGCTTTACGATTTTGTGGCGTGTGTACGAGAGTGTATAAAACTATAAGAATAGCTGATAGGGAAAAGAAAGACTTAAAGTTCTGAATCTCACTGGGTCATGTTGGGGGAGGAAGTGACCTAGCTGTGGCCAGTCTTTCCTGCCATATATCTTTCATTTCAACAAGGTCGTTCTCATTCTAAGGAAATGAGAACCCGAGACAAAAATTCTATATCTAAGCTATATCTCTTTGGGTAGATATGCAATCTATGATGATTTTCATTTCAGTGAGTCTATTTTTAAAGACTCTGTATACGTTTGAAATGAACTTGTATGAAAATATCCAGTCTCTAGATAAATATGTAAACAAATCTGATTTCTTCCCTGGCTCTGCGTGTTTTTGGCTCTGGTCCTGTGGCTTTTCATTCACTGAACTAAAACAATTGGTTTCGGTGGATTGTCCCTAATTCCCCTGCAGTGTCAACATGTGGCCCGTGACGTCATTTAATGAATTTGTCATCATTATAACTAGGACTTTTTTTGGTAACACTTTGAGGGGCACAATACTTGAGGAGGCACAAGTAATTTAGTAAGTCAGTTACTACTCAAGTACAAATCATGAATAAATTTAGCATCTGCATGAAATACATGAACCGTTATGACTGATTAATGATGAATGAACATGGGATCAGTATGTAACATTTCTTTATTTCATTTACAGGTCAAAATAATAAGCAAAAACTGCAAATTGTGTGGAGCAGAGTAGAAGGACGTATTTCTGCTTACAGTTGTCTCGTGTTCAGCACTGTCAAGCACCTGTCTTAGTGAAAGTGAATGACCAATGGATCTGACTTAGCTTTTAAGGGCACTTCCTGCGATGCTCCGAATAACCTATGTGGTACCTTTGTGAAGCTGGCCTCTCAACCAATCACAGTGAGCCAAAGCGAAAACTCTGGGACTGAGTGACCTGTTTCCAGATTTTCATCTGCTAGTGTAGAGTGAGAGTATGTAAGGTTAGCATCCACAGTCTGGGTGTTTTAAACAGTAAGATGCTAGTACTGAGCTCCACTCTACATTCCAGCAGCATCTTGGAAAGCTCACCTCCAAAACGCATCCCGAGAGCCTCTGTGGTCCTTTGTATGTGCTGACCTACTGGCTACTACTGCCCGGCTAATAAAGTCACATATGGCTTAATTGTTTTTCCTGGGGTGTGTAGTCAGGTTGTGGGGTTTCTCAAATGATGTAACCTCCATGTGTCATGGCAACACCTTTGTCCCTCTGTGTTACAGGAAAGCAGAAAATTGTGGCTCTGTTGCAGTGGGTTCATATTTCTCTAAATGCTTTCCGTTGGATAAGAATAGAAAATGACGATAGGTGTGGAACCTCATTGGGTGGAGGTCTGTCCCATTTGTGGGATGGAGGTGCAGGACAACAAGGTCAAAAAAGGTTTTATTTCGGAATAAACCTAGACACAGCAAATCCAAATCAACACATATTAAGAAATTCATATGTAAAAATCTTTGGGCTTTCAGAATCTCCATGAATCCACTGAGAATAAACTTAAGGTGGTAATTAGACCCAATGGCAGTAACCGAGGTCTCTGTAGATGACGGTGTGAGAGTAGATACATTCATCTAGTCATTCATCCTGCGCTGTGTGGGTATATATAGAGGCTTTGCTATGCTTCTTATACATTTTATATTATTGCTTCAAGGCTCACTCTTCACAAGGTATTGAATACATTTCCCATCAGAGC